TATCTATTGCTATCCACTAAATTTACGCATAGCTACACCGTAAAGCTTAATAATTTTACTTCTTTTAGAACAGTAAATGTCAAAAAACTCCTATTCCACATCAGTGAGGGTGAGAATTCTTAAATACATATTTATAGAAGAGAAATATTACTCTGTCTACAATGAGTGGCCTTGCAGGGTAATCCCATTCGAATTTAGGGTTCGTAATCGTCTAGATTTAATAGATCTTTGATGTCTTCACATTGTTCTTTTTGGTAATGATGATGCATGAACTATAGTATAATAATATGATGATTTTAATATGTGCTCAGGATTAATAACTTATAAGCTTATATATAGTTATAGCATACCTCTTCCATGTTATTCAAATCTGCCATAATAATTTTGGTTCATATTGTGATTTAAATACTTTTTTTTTAGAATCTTGATCTTTTTTTATTTTATCATTTGTTTTTCAATCTTTAGCATTTTGGAAGAAATTGAATCATTTCCTGATAAGACCGATAAAAAATCACAAAATGTAACCATCAAGCCCAGTGGAAAAAATTCTAATACCTTTGCATATATAAGATTACAAGTCAGAAAGAAATTACAAAATGCACTGAGTCAAGAAATATCTATAATGAACTTTTTAATATCAAGCATGCGCTTTAAAAAAAATTCTCAATGAGCTGAAAATTAGATGATTTCGTAAAAAATTCTGTGCTATCATAATTTCAAATTTCTAAATCTTTCTGGTTGCCAAAGCTGAATTCACTTGTATTGACTACTTTCTGGTATAATATTAAAACATTTCTAGTTTTAAAAATATTTTCATTAATTTAGCGAAAGGTTCATAAATTAATGCTCCTACACCATTAAATAAACTCTTTTAACTATATCATTGCTTGTTATTAAATCCCTTATTTATTGCTTTTAAGGTTCTTCTATTTTATTTAATGAATTGGTTGTATCTATTTTAGTGTCATTAACTGAATTTTTTTTACAGAAATGTTAATAAAAAACAGGCAGGCAAAATTCAAGATATCAACTTTGAATGTTAATAGTATCTTACTTCAAGTTTTTTTTCGAAGATTAGCAATGGCCATATAATAGAATTCTCAAAATTTTTTCCTATTCTTTTTTTTTACACCTTTTAATTCCAAAATATACTTTATATGTAACAACAAATATTCTGAGTAATAAAAAAACCGAATTTTGGTCTTTCAACATTATAACTTATCAGGCTCATCACCTGAAAAACGTGAAGTGTTGAGTATATGTATGACTCCCATATTTAACAGAATTAAATGCTCTTTTGGTATAATATCCTATTTCTTTTTTTAGTAATTTTAGTGT